TGTCAAAATTTTGACGGGGCTGTAGGTGATATCCGACAACGTAAGAACCCTGAATTTTAATTTGCGAGGTCATACGTGGGTAGAGGGTCATTACTCCAAAATTTTAGCTCCCTGGATCCCGTGGTCCCTGAGATAATAATTTACCGCCGAAAGTTTTACGGGGCCGTATATGTTACCTGCGGGCACGAGAAGGCTGAATTTAAATTTTCTAGGTCACGCGTGGATGAGGAACATACCCTAAAATCTCAGCTTTCTGGATTCCGTGGTTCCCAAGATAAGAATTTATCCGCCAATACTTTCACGAGGCCGTAGGTGGTACTCGAAAGGGCGGGAACGTTAAATTTGAACAGGCAAGATCGAGCGTGGGCAGGGGATTACTACACCAAAATTTCATCTTCGTATGTTCAATGGTTCCCGAAATAATAATTTACCTGCCAAAATTTTCACGGAGCCATAGGCGACAGCCGGAAGCGCGGGAACGCTGAATTTGAACAGGCAAGGTAGAGCGTGGGTAGAGGGTTATTACACTAAAATTCCAGCTTCGTATATTCAGTGATTCCCGAGATAATAATTTACCCGCGAAAATTTTCACGGGGCCGTTCGTGTCACCCGCGGGCAGGGTAAGGCTGAGTTTAAATTTTCTGGGTCGCACGTGGGCAGGGGACACGTCCACAAAATCTCAGCCTTCTAGCTTCCGTGGTTCCCGTGATAATAATTTTACCGCCCAAACTTTTACGAGGCCGGATGTGTTATCCGCGGATACGAGAAGGCTGAATTTAAATTTGCAGAGTCACACGTGGGTATGGAACGTTACCCTAAATTTTCAGCTTCCTAACTTTTGTGGTTCCCGAGTTGAAAGCTGCGAACAAGTTGCTGCGGACACACACACACAGACAACCTCGTGACAATAAGCGTTTTGTACTGCCGTTACACAGCACAAAAAGCATAAAAATTACATGATCCAGTGTTTCCGCATGTTTCTTTTGCAAAACAGCCAAACGTCCGATCAGTTCAGCATTATCAGTTTCCAGAACTGACGCTGAACAGGAACTGTCATCACCATCGAGATTCTAGAAAAAGATAGCCGTTTTTTTCTTTTTTTTTCCAAACCGCCTGCATATACCAGAGACATGTATTAATGGAATGTACTTAAAAATGCTTCTCCGAGACGTGCAACAACATACATGGAGGGAAGTTTTGTCGTGTTCGGTGACAAATGCCCAGGAACAAATGCTGGATGCTGCTTCGGTGTCATGCTTCATCCTAGAACGATCGAACAGGGTTGAAAGTGAGCCACCTACTCGTACCCGCGTGCCATCTAAACACAAAAGACATAACCGCTATTGATCTTAAATCTTTTTTAAAATTCTTTTTTAATCGTTTCTCAAGTCTTTTTTAGACCCTTTTGAACCACTTTAAATTCCTTTTTTCAATTTGTTAAAAAATAATTTTTTTTTTTAAATTAAATATTAAAAAGTTTCTCTTTTATTCCTTCTCTTATCTCCTCTTCATCGCATTCTCAGTCCAGCTAATCCCACAATCATAGCGTTCCCTTTCTTTCCTTTCCTCCTTCTTTTCCATCAAGCACTGCCACCGTCATACTGACGAAGTCCTGTTGCGGTGCTGAGCCAAGATGTATATGATTTAATGGACCGAAACGTCTTATCTCACTCTTGCCTTCTCTTACTGTTCTTTTTTATGCGTTTTTTGCAGCAATGCAATGCGAAAAACGCATATCGAAGAGAGGTTGTCTGTGTGTGTGTGTGTGTCTGTGTCTGTGTGTGCGCTGGGCCTCTGTACCGATTTTTCATCTC